CCGATGACACAAAGATAGGTAGGATAATTGATTCAAACGTAGATGTTAGGGAACTTCAGGAGGATTTAAACAAACTCTATTCTTGGTCAGAAAAGTGGCAGATGCAGTTCAATGTAGATAAATGCAAGGTTCTGAAGCTTGGAGTGCCCATAACCCTAGTACTTATAAGTTAAATGATGTAGAACTTAGCCATACAGATTGCGAAAAGGACTTGGGGGTTATGGTGAGCAGCAACCTTAAACCAAGACAGCAATGCCTAAGCGTACGTAATAAGGCAAATAGATTACTGGGATTTATATCAAGAAGTGTAAGCAACAGAAGTCCAGAGGTCATACTGCAGCTTTATACATCATTAGTAAGGCCTCACCTAGCTTATGCAGCTCAGTTCTGGTCTCCATATTACAGAATGGACATAAATTCGTTAGAAAACATTCAGCGTAGGATGACTAAATTAATACATAGCATTAGAAATCTTCCTTATGAAGAAAGATTGAAGACTCTTAAGTTGCATTCACTTGTTAGACGAAGAATGAGGGGAGACCTGATCGAAGTGTATAAGTGGAAGATAGGTATTAATAAAGGGGATGTCAGTAAGGTCTTGAGGATGTCTCTCCAAGAGAGAACCCGCAGTAATGGATTTAAATTAGATAAGTTTAGATTTAGAAAGGACATTGGAAAGTATTGGTTTGGAAATAGGGTAGTTGATGAGTGGAACAGTCTACCTAGTTGGGTTATTGAGGCTGGGACTTTGGGTAGTTTCAAATTTAGGTTGGATAAGTACATGAGTGGGAGGGGTTGGATTTGAGTGGGACTTGCACATCAGAGCTTATTTCTTGGGTGGCATTGAAAATTGGGTTGGGCAAATGTTTTGTTAGTGGGATGAATTGTAAAGGACCTGCCTAGTATGGGCCAACAGACCTGCTGCAGTGTTCCTCCTTTCTTATGTTCTTATGTTCTTAACATAAGAACATAAGAATGGAGGAACACTGCAGAAGGCCTACTGCCCCACACAAGGCAGTGATCGAAGTGACCAAGATGACAAATTTCCAGATATCTGGAATGCCCTTGACGGGAAAAAAATGCCCAGTCAAATTGACTATCACAACAGAAATGGTATGAGACAAAAATCAAGCAATGGGTAGAATGTATATCGACAAAGACTGAACAAGAAATGAGCAGAAACAAGAAAAAGAGAGTGCAAAGATGCCAAAGGAGCGATGGAGGGACAAAATTCATAGAAAGGTTTGTGGAAGCAGAGCATCTAGAGAAGTGCAATGCACATCAATGTACTGACCTCCGTTCTCAAGCCCTAGTGGTTCTCTCCTCTTCCCCTCAAACATAACACAAAACATGCCATATCCCACCCTGCTCTTCCTTCACCCACAATCCTCACCCCGTCCCGGTGAAAGAACCTTTCTCACAACTGTCCTCTCACCTCAACCCCCACACTACGCTATTCTTATACCCCAACCACCCCATTTACATCTAACATCCCGATCCTCTCCAGTGCAAAAAATTTACCCTTTAACACTTATCTCTACCCACGTCAACCCCTCCCACAGTCTTGTCTCATGTGCAAGAACCAAAAATTTAAGAACCCAAGAACCACTACACACAGAAAGGAAGGTGAAAGTATGGCACACAAAAGCAGTTGGAATAACAAATAAGCATGATGAATGGAACAAATGAATGGCGACATTATAGCAAAGACAGGAAAAACAGAGGGAACAGAGGAACGAGTAGCACTGGTAATCAGAAGCAACTAAGGGAAGGCAGGCGGCTACACAGTAGGCCCACTCAAAACCTGTGGTTCCAAGGTGGTGATAGCAGTGATGTACAATATTTCAATAAGCAGCACAATATAAAGACAAGGATACGACAAAATTAACAGAGCAGTGGTAGATATATTAGATGAGTTGGCCAGAAGAGCCCACATGAACACTTTAAATTTTCTTTGTATGGGAGACTCGATCCACAAGGAGACTGGGAGAACCAAAAACCACACAGTGACCCAGAAACATAGAGGGCTAAGATGCCTGAGATGGTACAGGAGAATTATATACACCAACATTCTCGGGACACAGCCAGAAATAAAGAGAGAGAGAGAGAGAGAGAGAGAGAGAGAGAGAGAGAGAGAGAGAGAGAGAGAGAGAGAGAGAGAGAGAGAGAGAGAGAGAGATGATGATGATGAACCAGCAAGCCTGATCCTTGTATTCACCCTGAGTGATACTGACATAGGAGATACTGAAAATGAATGCTAGTACCAGATGGACCTGAGTTTCGAATACTTAGTGAAAACAAACTTGGATTATTATTATTATTATAATCAAGGGGGAAGCGCTAAACCCGGAGGATTATACAGCGCCTGGGGGGGGGGGATATGTGGAAGGCATTCAGGCTTAATTCGGGGAACTGGAGCACAGATCCAATTCCCTAAATCAAGAGCCCCTCACCAACATCAAGGAACCTTCCTTGAGGGGAACAAACTTGGAGAAAGAAGCAGCACAGTGAGAACAAGACAAAACATGTTTCAAAATATGAGTGTTTGCAGGTACCAAGAAATTCCTAAATGAGCAGCAACTGAAAAGGGAACTGTAAGGTAAGACAGCAAATGAGATGTAGTATGTGGCTGGAAATTGCCAGGAGGCAAAGAGGAAATTCATACCCTAGAGCAGAAGAAGAAAAGGGAAAACCAGAGTGAGCCAATGATTCTCCCTGAGGTGCAGAGAGGCTAAAGATAGTGAATGGAAACAATACAGAAAACAAAGAATGGAAACAATACAGAAAACAAAGAATGGAAACAATGCAGAAAACAAAGAATGGAAACAATACAGAAAACAAAGAATGGAAACAATACAGAAAACAAAGAATGGAAACAATACAGAAAACAAAGAATGGAAACAATACAGAAAACAAAGAATGGAAACAATACAGAAAACAAAGAATGGAAACAATACAGAAAACAAAGAATGGAAACAATAAAGAAAACAAAGAATGGAAACAATAAAGAAAACAGAGAAATCAGAAATACTCAGTAGATTTTATTCGACTCCAGTTAAAGACATTTACAAAGTGGTAAAAGACAGTTGGCGTCTCAGATTTTAGGAGCTTCGTGTAATTAATATTACTCCGCAAATGTCTCTAACCAGTTGGTCAGGAGGTGAGGGTCTTCCTAGAAAAGTTTACGTTGACTGTCTTAAACTTCAAAAACTTCCATTATGAGAGGTTCCTACTTACAAAGATAAAATAGTGGCCTGCATGGCCACCTATTGTAATAGTAATAGTCAGATATCAGCAAAGGAGATTGACTTTTCAATGAAAGTCGTAACCTTCGGAGATACAGGCACCTACTGCTCCCTTGTACGAGAGGGAAAACTTCCCAACCCCCTACACAAAAGTTTTGTTAGGAACAAATACTTCACAGGTTACTGTTGGCGTGTCAGGTGAATTTACTATGAACGAGGCACTATTCTTAATATGTAACGAAGTCCTCCTTTCCAAGAGACTGTCCTGATTCTGTAGTCGCTCTTAAAAGCTCGACACCTGAACCTGTTCCAGTTATGTCCGTAACTCAAGCAATGACTAAGAGAAAGTTGGTGAGAATGCTATCTTTACCTTGGGAGACTCCGACCTTGGTTTAGGCAAGCTGTTTTACAATGGCAGCTGGCCAAGTCCTTGTAAATCATGGCTAACTATTCTTGGGTAGCAGGACTACCAGACGACCCTGATTCCATACCCGACGGATCGACGTACAGGGAAGAGCAGTAAAGAAACCCTCTTTTTTTATGTTTCAAGTCGGCAGCTGTGAAGCTGACGCCTGATAGGTTAGTTGCCATAATTTGGCTGATCTGTGGCCACTTTGACCACCCTTACTAGTAAAAGAAAAAATCATCTTTATATTGTGTGCACAGGACCAAGAAGCACTTCAGAAACTAAAAGATTACTGTGTAAAGCTCCTGTATTCTTATCACCAGATTATTCAAGCCTATTTTTTTTACAGGTGAATACCTGTGATCAGAGTGTTGGCACAGCTTTATATCAGGGATCTTGGGAGGGAGTCCTCATCTAGTTGCCTACTTCTCACCTAGGTTAAAGCCTTACCAGTGCACTTTCTCCTAACAAAGGAACCCCTGGCTCTGGTCTTAGTTCTGGAACACTTCGACGTGTATTTTTCATCCTCTCATGTGGTTTACTGTAGGTATTCAGTGACCATAATCCGCTGACATACCTGATCTCTATGTTGAATAGAAACACCCATCTTATGCGCTGGGACTTCCAACTCCAACAATATAATATTTCGATTAAGTACATGTCTGGTGGGGAACGCACTCTCCACAGCCTGATAGTTAGGATATCACGAAATATATCAATTTTATTACTGGTTAGTACTCGGGTAATGGGAAGCTTCAAACTCTTTTTTTTCCATTATTGTGGGATCTATATACTTTAATAGAAATACTTTTTTCAACACAATAATTTTTTGTTTTGTTTTGTGAGGGAACACATTGCTACCAACCGCAAGTGTCCTACTGTCCCACTCTGTGGCAGTGACTGACTTCAAACTGTTAGCCAGTTTTTCCATTAATTTATACCAATGATAGCACGCTACCTACTTAAGGGATATAATTCTCCCAACTCTTATGGTACTCTGTGGGTTGAGCTGAGTGGAGTATGTTACAGTTTATTCGGCGGTCATGCCCTCTACACCAGCCAAACTGCCATTTAGGCTGGAACGGTATATTTACTAGCCCTGCTGCTCTGGTAGACTGTTCAATTCAAGCATAAATCAATAAGAAGAGAGCTTTCTTCCCAGCAGAGTTGAGGCTACGCTTCCCTATCTGGCTGGGTGGCACACACTCACTAACATTGGATGTCATTGATGTCATTATTGTGACTCTTATTAATAATGTTGTCATTTATGTAACCGGTAGTGTAAAACATTTCTACTCTTTACGTCGAAAGCAATACTTTCACTGGTAGCTTTGGTGGAATTAGGGCCTCTAGTGCTCTCTTGCAAGTAGCCTCCAGTGACTTCTTGCAGGGTCATCTAGTGCCTTCTTGCAGGGGCGGTCAGGAAGCGTTTCTTCTGTGTCAGAGTGGTCAGGAAGTGTTTCTTCTGTGTCATGGTGGTCAGGAACTGTTCCTTCTGTGTCAGGGTGGTCAGGAAATGTTTCCTCTGAGTCAGGGTGGTCAGCAAGTGTGTCTTCTGTGTCAGGGTGGTTCAGAAAGTGTTTCTCCTTTGTCAGGGTGGTCAGGAAGTGTTTCTTCTGTGTCAGGGTGGTCAGGAACTGTTCCTTCTGTGTCAGGGTGGTCAGGAAATGTTTCCTCTGAGTCAGGGTGGTCAGCAAGTGTTTCTTCTGTGTCAGGGTGGTCAGAAAGTGTTTCTCCTTTGTCAGGGTGGTCAGGAAGTGTTTCTTCTGTGTCAGGGTGGTCAGGAACTGTTCCTTCTGTGTCAGGGTGGTCATGAAATGTTTCCTCTGAGTCAGGGTGGTCAGCAAGTGTTTCTTCTGTGTCAGGGTGGTCAGAAAGTGTTTCTCCTTTGTCAGGGTGGTCAGGAAGTGTTTCTTCTGTGTCAGGGTGGTCAGGAAGTGTTTCCCCTGTGTCAGGGTGGTCAGGAAGTGTTTCTTCTGTGTCAGGGTGGTCAGGAAGTGTTTCCTCTGAGTCATGGTGGTCAGGAAGTGTTTCTTCTGTGTCAGGGTGGTCAGAAAGTGTTTCTTCTGTGTCAGGGTGGTCAGGAAGTGTTTCTTCTGTGTCAGGGTGGTCAGAAAGTGTTTCTTCTGTGTCAGGGTGGTCAGGAAGTGTTTCCTCTGACTCAGGGTGGTCAGGAAGTGTTTCGTCTGTGTCCGGGTAGTCAAGAAGTGTTTCCTCTGAGTCAGGGTGGTCAGGAAGTGTTTCTTCTGTGTCAGAGTGGTCAGGAAGTGTTTCTTCTGCTGTGTCAGGGTAGTCAGGAAGTGTTTCTTCTGTGTCAGGGTGGTCAGGAAGTGTTTCTTCTGTGTCAGAGTGGTCAGGAAGTGTTTCTTCTGCTGTGTCAGGGTAGTCAGGAAGTGTTTCTTCTGTGTCAGAGTGGTCAGGAAGTGTTTCTTCTGCTGTGTCAGGGTAGTCAGGAAGTGTTTCTTCTGTATCAGGGTGGTCAGGAAGTGTTTCTTCAGTGTCATGGTGGTCAGAAAGTGTTTCTTCTGTGTCAGGGTGGTCAGGAAGTGCTTCTTCTGAGTCAGGGTGGTCAGGAAGTGTTTCTTCTGTGTCAGGGTGGTCAGAAAGTGTTTCTTCTTTGTCAGGGTGGTCAGAAAGTGTTTCTTCTGTGTCAGGGTGGTCAGGAAGTGTTTCTTCTGTGTCAGGGTGGTTAGGAAGTGTTTCTTCTGTGTCAGGGTGGTCAGAAAGTGTTTCTTCTGTGTCAGGGTGGTCAGGAAGTGTTTCTTCTGTGTCATGGTGGTCAGGAAGTGTTTCTTCTGTATCAGGGTGGTCAGAAAGTGTTTCTTCTGTGTCAGGGTGGTCAGGAAGTGTTTCTTCTGTGTCAGCGTGGTCAGAAAGTGTTTCTTCTGTGTCAGGGTGGTCAGGAAGTGTTTCTTCTGAGTCAGGGTGGTCAGAAAGTGTTTCTTCTGTGTCAGGGTGGTCAGGAAGTGTTTCCTCTGTGTCAGGGTGGTCAGGAAGTGTTTCTTCTGAGTCAGGGTGGTCAGGAAGTGTTTCTTTTGTGTCAGGGTGGTCAGGAAGTGTTTCTTTTGTGTCAGGGTGGTCAGAAAGTGTTTCTTCTGTGTCAGGGTGGTCAGGAAGTGTTTCTTTTGTGTCAGGGTGGTCAGGAAGTGTTTCTTCTGTGTCAAGGTGGTCAGAAAGTGTTTCTTCTTTGTCAGGGAGGTCAGAAAGTGTTTCTTCTGTGTCAGGGTGGTCAGAAAGTGTTTCTTCTGTGTCAGGGTGGTCAGGAAGTGTTTCTTCTGTGTCAGGGTGGTCAGGAAGTGTTTCTTCTGTGTCAGGGTGGTCAGAAAGTGTTTCTTCTGTGTCAGGGTGGTCAGAAAGTGTTTTCTTCTGTGTCAGGGTGGTCAGAAAGCGTTTCTTCTGTGTCAGGGTGGTCAGAAAGTGTTTCTTCTGTGTCAGGGTGGTCAGAAAGCGTTTCTTCTGTGTCAGGGTGGTCAGGAAGTGTTTCTTCTATGTCAGGGTGGTCAGGAAGTGTTTCTTCTGTGTCAGGGTGGTCAGAAAGCGTTTCTTCTGTGTCAGGGTGGTCAGAAGTGTTTCTTCTGTGTCAGGGTGGTCAGGAAGTGTTTCTTCTGTGTCAGGGTGGTCAGAAAAACGTTTCTTCTGTGTCAGGGTGGTCAGGAAGTGTTTCTTCTGTGTCAGGGTGGTCAGAAAGTGTTTCTTCTGTGTCAGGGTGGTCAGAAAGCGTTTCTTCTGTGTCAGGGTGGTCAGGAAGTGTTTCTTCTGTGTCAGGGTGGTCAGGAAGTGTTTCTTCTATGTCAGGGTGGTCAGAAAGTGTTTCTTCTGTATCAGGGTGGTCAGGAAGTGTTTCTTCTGTGTCAGGGTGGTCAGGAAGTGTTTCTTCTGTGTCAGGGTGGTCAGGAAGTGTTTCTTCTGTGTCAGGGTGGTCAGGAAGTGTTTCTTCTGTGTCAGGGTGGTCAGGAAGTGTTTCTTCTGTGTAAACGGTGGTCAGGAAGTGTTTCTTCTGTGTCACGGTGGTCAGGAAGTGTTTCTTCTGTGTCACGGTGGTCAGGAAGTGTTTCTTCTGTGTCAGGGTGGTCAGGAAGTGTTTCTTCAGTGTCAGAGTGGTCAGGAAGTGTTTCTTCTGTGTCACGGTGGTCAGGAAGTGTTTCTTCAGTGTCAGGGTGGTCAGGAAGTGTTTCTTCAGTGTCAAGGTGGTCAGGAAGTGTTTCTTCAGTGTCAGGGTGGTCAGGAAGTGTTTCTTCTGTGTCACCAGTGGTGAGGTCAGGCTCTATACATAGTTTTAAGTGGCTAAGATAGAGCTGGAGCCAGGAGCTATGGCTACACCCCAGCAACTATATACAGTGGACCCCCGCATAACGATTACCTCCGAATGCGACCAATTATGTAAGTGTAATTATGTAAGTCCGTTTGTACGTGTATGTTTGGGGGTCTGAAATGGACTAATCTACTCCACAATATTCCTTATGGGAACAAATTCGGTCAGTACTGGCACCTGAACATACTTCTAGAGTGAAAAAATATCGTTAACCGGGGGTAATATAGGGTAATACATATAAGAGATAACACACACACATACACACCCACCTCTCTGTAGATGAAGAAGTTGAAGATCATCAGACTGAGGAAGGGCACCAGATACATCACAATAAGGTACATCCACATGATGTACAGCTGAACGTAGTATTTATTTTGCCTTAACTCTGACGCTACCACAATAACAAATAATTCGTCCATCACGTAGCACTCCTGTAGATGAAAGGTAGATCTAATATTATTATTATTAATTATTATTATTATTATTATATATTATTATTATATTATTATTATTATTATATTGTTATTATTTATATATTTATTATTATTATTATTATTATTATTATATTATTATTATTATTAGTATTATTATTATATATTGTTATTATTATTATTATTATTCTTATTATTTATGTATTATTATATTATTATATTGTTATTATATATTATTATTATTATTATTATTATTATTATTATATTATATTATTATTATTATTATTATTATTATATATTAATTATTATTATTTATTATTATTATTATATATTATTATTATTATTATTGTTATTATATTATTATTATTATTTATTATTTATTATTATTATTATTATTATTATTATTATTATTATTATTATTATTTTATTATTATTATTATTATGTATTATTCTTATTATTATTATTTTATTATGTTATTTTTATTATTATTATTATTATATTATTATTATTATTATTATTATTATTATTATTAATATTATTATTATTATTATTGTTATTATTATTATTATTGTTTATTATTATTATTATATTATTATTATTATTATTATTATTTTATTATCATTATATTAATTATTATTATTATTATTACTTATTTATATTATTATTTTTTATTATTATTATTATTATTGTTATTATATTATTATTAATTATTTATTATTGTTATTATTATTATTATTATTATATATTATTATTATTATTATTATTATTATATTACTATTAATATTATTATTATTATTTTATTATTATTATTATTATTATTATTGTTATTATATTAATATATTATTATTATTATTATTAGTTATTATTATTATTATTATTTTATTTATTATTATTATTATTATTATTATTATTATTATTATTATTATATATTATTATTATTATTATTATTATTATTATATTATTATTATTTTTGTTATTATTATTATTATTATTATTATTATTATTATTATTATTGTTATTATTATTATTATTATTAATATTATTATTATTTATTATTATTATTATTATTATTATTATTATTATTATTATTATTATTATTATTATTATTATTATTATTATTATTATTATTATTATTATTATTATTATTATTATTATTATTATTATTATTATTATTATTATTTATTATTATTATTATTTTATTATTATTATATTATTTTATTATTAATTTATTATTATTTTATTATTATATTATTATTATTATTATTATTATTATTATTATTATTATATTATTATTATTATTATTATTATTATTATTATTATTTATTATTATTATTTATTAATATTATTATTATTATTATCATTATTTATTATTATTATTATTATTATTATTATTATTATTATTATATATTATTATTATTTGTTTGGTATATTTATATTATTTTCATTTTCACAAAAATACAGTAAAACCTTATGGGTGTCTGAACTCAGGTTACAAGAAGTGTCATACCTGATAAGAAACTTCCCAAAACCTGGGAATATTATAAATGATGGAGAAGAAAGCCACGCTTAAAACGTAGATTTTTGCACGTCCGTAGGTGCACAGGGAGCGTGCTCGCAGCGGCCGGCAAACCGCGATGTACCGCTCTACCGTCACTGTGACTGTCATGTAGACTGAGCCAGTCTGGGCCATGAGAGCGAGGGGAAAGACAAATGGAGTGACTCGTTGGAAGACGCCTTCTGTGTACCAAGCCATGGTCTTGGTGTACTCGCCGATTTCGGTGAGACCGAACATGAGTATCGAGGTGGTGGTGACGATCATGTCGAAGGTGGTGAGACCAATCAGGCAGCAGTTGATGGAGGAACGCATCTTCGGTCTGAGGAGAGAAGAAGGTGCTAGATCAGACTGAACATGAGACTCGATGTTATGTGGTTATTACCTTGTAGGTCTCTGGAGGGTATGAGGAACAAGCTTAGGTCTTAGAAGAGAGCAATCATGGGTCTGGAGAAAAATAAGCCTTCGATCTGAGGAAACCACCTTGGATGGTGTACAGAACAGCCTTGGTGGCCTGGTGGTTAACGCTCTCGCTTCACACGGTGAGGGCCTGGGTTCGATTCCCAGCCAGAGTAGAAACATTGGACGTGTTTCTTTCCACCTGTTGTCTATGTTCCCCATCAGTAAAATGGGTACCTGGGTGTTAGTCGACTGGTGTGGGTCGCATCCTGGGACACTGACCTAAGGAGGCCTGGTCACAGACCGGGCCGCGGGGGCGTTGACCCCCGGAACTCTCTCCAGGTAAACTCTCCAGGCCATGTAGAGAGAGAATATGGTGTAAATAACAGACATTGTTCTGCAATGAGAACAATATGGAAGGATCAGTCTTGGGTCAGTAGAGACTAATGAGTCCTGGGTCAGGATTCATGTTAATCCCTCTGGAATCTTAACAAACGAAACGTTTCGCCTGCACAGCAGACTTCTGTCGAATACTGAGGTCACTTTTATACTGAAGAGAGTGAAAGTAATGTAGAGCAAATTTTAAGATGTTCAGTCCCATAACTTTTCCTTAGTCTTAACTGAAGGTGTTTGCTCATTTAGTCTTGATATTGTAGACTTTTATTAGTCCTTTGACCAACATTAATAATAAAATAATAATAATAATATCTTTATTTCTACAAGTACATGTACAAGGTATACAGGCCTAGCTGACATTAATGACATACTACTACATTGGAACCTCGGTACTTGAACAGCTCCCTACTAGAACAATTCGGTATTCGAACGCTTTGTTCTGTCAAAAAATCGCTCGGTAGTCGACCGTTTGCTCGCCATTCGACCAAACAAACACGACCTGCTAGAACTTCGCTGTAAACTATTTCGTGTTTCTTCGCATTATTTTGGTGTCTTTTTTATATTATTTGTAAAAATAAAATAAGTCACCATGGGGCCTAAGAAGATAAGTGATAACAGTCAACAAAAAAAGAAAATTGGTTGAGAAAAATTGCTCGGTACTCGAACAGCTTTCTGGAACGAATTAAGTTCGAGTTCCCAATATTCCACTGTATATAGAAAGCCGTTTCTTATGCAGAGCATTTCGGGCAAATTAGGTCACTTTTGCCCCGTGATGTGACCGACACCAATCGAATAACGCCCAGGTACCCATTTTACTGGTGGGTGAACATGGACAACCGGTGTAAAGAAAGTGCCCATTGCCCAATGTTTCAACCCTCGCCAGGAATCGAACCCTGACACTCACAGTGTGAAGTGAGAGCTTTTACCACCAGGCCACGGGCCACCGATCAAAGTTGTTCAGTCCCTAAGTCTAATATTTGCCGGAGGAACGAGGATGGAGAGTCAGATACTAGAGCCAGAGGTGAGGTGTAGCAACATGAACTATGGAAATATAAAATAATCCCGCGTCTGACCAGAGCACGGGTTGTGGGGATCGTTTTTATTACATTAATTGGGAAGTGCCAAACCCATAAGGGAATGGAAGCTAGGAGTCACTAGCTGTATAGAAAAGAGCTGAACTAGCACGATAATCACAGTAGGTGATGTGAAGCACGCTACACAGTCGACACAGTCAACACGATCGACACGGTCGACACAACACAGTCAACACAGTCAACACAGTCAACACGGTCGACACGGTCGACACACCCTCAAAGTACAATTCACAACACGAACATCACAGACTGTGATAAGTGACAAGTGAGAACTTATATACAATGTGCAGTGACTGTGTACATTGCTAAATTATAAAACCTCCAGTGATGTATCGGTGACGTCACTCAACTGGATGATGGGTAAGGTATTTAATATCACTGATCAGGATTGTGTTCACTCTTAGTGATGTCAAGAGTTTGGAATTCCACCCGATGGCGTCAAATTCATTTACCAGAATAATAATATCAAAGAATTTAATGTAATATATAATTGAAAATCAAATATGGAGTTGCATGACTCAAACAGATTTCTGCGAGACAATCAGCAACTTTACATATAAATGGAAACTAAATTAAAAGAAAGGGAAAATTGTGATTTTCGTCTGATTTTGCAAGTTAACTGTAGAATCACTGACACTAAGATTATGTTTATGTTTAAAATGAATGCTCGATTAGGTTGGCACAAGAGTCAAATTTGATCTTTAAACATATCATTTAATGTTTGCAATTACCACTCGAGATGGAGTGTGGTCAGTTATTTTCCTGAACAGTTCCGTTTTGTGAAGATAACATAAGTGACTCTTAATAAACATGACGGTCATGCATTGTACAACCTGAGTGATGGGTTATATAACCTTGACCCTTACTGAGTTAAACCAGTTGTGCAAAATCTCAAGCAAGAATGTTTAAGAAAACCTCTAGACTGTTTATTATGCAACGTTACCCCTAAAATGTCTTAGGCAGGACAAATTTGCAATAAACTATCATCTTCCCAGTCTTTTCGCCACTTTTCTTGCGTTGTACCTTACATTAATCCGTTTTACTGTGTAAAGAAGTTATGCAACAATGGGTGAAGTAATGGCTTATAATAGTAACAAGATGAATTAAGACACAGCTGCAACACTGAGGTACCTTTGTTACGAATAGTTAACGCCAGTCAGTTGTTTATCAGTTCAATACAGACGTTAATATTTCAGATAACTTCTGTACTGAACTGATAAAGTCATTGGCTGGACAAACGTCTAAGTAATGAAGACACTCAGGTACTGTTTATACTACAGTCATCGGTAGTGGAAGAAATCAGTTTACCACATTTTACTTTAGACGGGATAGTTGAAGGAATCTACCCTCAATTTTTTTTGGCATTTTTCACTATAACAATGGAGTGATCATGTTGCTTATGTGTTTAAAATTTTGATATCAAATGTTTAAGTAGTTTGCATAAATACTTAACAAAAAGTTCTTAACAGTATTATCAGTTCTTAATAAACTGACGCCAATTCACTCCGAATAATACTGGCGCAACAGCTGTGAATATAAGCGACGATATTAATGTATATATTTCGATAATCTAACTGTAGTTTACGATGGTAGGGAGT